AAAAGGAAATCGGTCATTAAAGGATATCCTTCTATTTTTTATTTTTTATTTTTATTTTTTTTAGGTGCATGAGGCTACTTTACTCAATGAATGATTCATATATCTGCCAAGACCACTCTGTACACGTAAGAGAGGTGGAGCTTTACTTCTTGATCTCTTCTTCCTTGGACAGAGTATTGAGGATTTCCTCCTTCTTGGCCTGGAGCTGCTCTTCACAGCACTTGTGAGCTTCCTTGGTCTTAGGCCTGCGGGCCTCAGCCTGGTCAGCCAGAAGCTTCTTGGGAGCCTTGTCCACCTTCAACCTGTGTTCCATGAGAATCCGCTTGCTTTTAAACACGTTTCCCTTCACTTCCAGGTTCACGCACCCATCAGTCTTCTTAGATTCACGTTATCTTCTGTGTCTCCAGCAAAGAATTCTCCTCCTTCTCCTCCTACTCCTCTAGGTAACTTTCTCAGGCCTTCAAGCACTGGCAGTAAGTGTACCCTTTCGCTTACCTATGCCCATAGGCCTGCCCTTCCTGCAGGCAAGGTGTGGCTCCAGCATCGAACCCAGAAATGGGCAGCCACAGGCTTCTGGATGATCAGCTTCTGAATCTGCTGACGGGAGTCGGCATTTGTGACTTCATTGGTCATTGGGGTCCAGCCAGACCTTCTTGGCCAGTAGAGGATACTGGAGGAAAGCCTCTTCTGAAGTCTAGCCATTCTCATGGCTGCTGCCACTGAAGGCTACCCTTCTAACCCACTAACGTGGAGGTGGAACCAAGAGTGGATCCCTTTGGTATTTCAAGTGGCCAACGGAATCAATGTTGGAGAATTGACAAAGCTGCATTTCCCAGTGGGTCCTCTGAGGGCCACCTGCATCTCACGCCTTTGGCATGCTGCCTTAAAATGCAGATTCCTGGGCCCGCTCCAGCTATGGATTCATTGGGGCCCAGGAATCTGCACTGTCCAAACATTTTAAATGTATACTCTGTATATTCGATCCAATGTCTGAAGTCCTTGGACATCAATAATTCTACTGGGTCTTGTTATAAATGGGCTTAGGAGCTGGAATACATGTTAGGCTGGGTTTTATGTCTAGAGTCCAGAGATACCTGGGCAAAGGGGGCATCCCTGAAAGGGAAAATTTGCTGGTATCCACCCTGCATGCCTCAGTTCCACCAACCATGAACTCAGGGTAACTTTCTGGGCTTGGGTCCTGGCAGACCACCCCAGTGGTGTGAGGTCATGAGCGGGCAAGCCTCCGGTATAACCCACCGGAGGAAGCCCGCCCTCGCCCCTCCTGGGACTCGGACCAAGAGGGTTAGAGCCATTGGCACTTCCCTTCCCTGATGATAGGTCTTATTTTCATTTTTTGGTCTGCCTTTTTAATGAGGAAAGAGCCCTTTAGGAGAGGCGGATGGACGGGAAATTTCAATTCTCGCTCTGCACCTTGGGTGAGCATCAGACCTCGCCTTCTGTTGCCCTCTAGCCCAAAATACATGACACCCGATTACTGTCCCTGGAGGCAGCTGTGGCTTTAGCGCCTAATTACATCTCCGAGCCACCGCTGCCCCTTCCAGGTTCTGGCCCCAGGAACTGTCCTTCCCTGCTCACAAGCACAGTTATGCATTTGTAATAATGCCAGCTCTCCTTTCTCCAGCATTCCTAGGCTCTGTGTAGTGGGAGGGTGTTTCGGACTCTGTGGCCTAAGTATTGCTAGAAATAGACGTTTTTGGAACTGCATTCTTCCCCATAAAAGATTCTTATCCACACCCTAAAGTTTGAGGACATCGTAAACTCAGCAAGTAGTGAAACTTTATGGTTGTGGAACAGTCGTTTTTAAAAATGTTTTCCTATTCACTTATTTCATTTCATCCTTGAAACATCCTTGCAAAATAAGCAGGACCGGTATTTTTATTCCCAGCTTTCTGATGATAAAGCCTAGTCAGGCTATGTTTCTTGCCTAAAGATAGAAAAGTCATTAAAGAGCAAAAATGAGGATCAGAGCCCGAATCTTCAGCTATTTGATCGATTGCATCATACTACATTATTCCCAGGGGATAATTTAGGGTTCCAAGAGATCATTATCTATCACATGATTCCCAAGTCACAGCTTTCCATATCAATTTATAGTAGGAAGAGTCAAATTTTCTCTGGCATCTATGGGTCTATGTTTTCCTTCTCTGTGCATGTCAAATGTTGAAGCTTTACTCTAGGGCCACAGGCCCCTTTAAAAGTCATTGAAAAACACCTGGCAATCATTTTTTAAGTGATCTCTGCAGGACACTGACATGATTTATAAGAGCATCCTTTATTTTTAATAATCATCCTTCAACTTTGTAAGAATCTTACCTTGTGGTGTCCCTAGGAGGGTCCCTACAAGGGGTTTCCTGCAGTGGGAACATCTAACTGGGGCCTGGCTGCTGAGGGTTAGACCCTGTTTGAAGCACTGTGTATATTCCCCACACTGCAATTTGTGGGCTTTAGCTGGATTTTGGAACCGCTCTGCAGCCCTTAAGGAAGCCTCAGTGGGCTGCCAGCCGTTCTTCAGGGCTCGTGGCCCACGTGGTGGTGGGCTCACCACAAGGTCTCAGCCATATCCTCCTCTAGGTCTGAGTTTGGTCATCTACCCCATGTTCATTCCGCAAACATTTGAGAACTGAAAATGGGTCTGGAAACAGACTACAGACGGTCGCATAACCAACCTACGTTTTATTATTCTACAGGGAGATTCCACTATGGATCAACACTTTAGTTTCAGGTCGCTTCAAAGGGCCTCTTGGCAAACAATCATGCAACTAAAATTATTTTCTGCTCTGCCCAGTGTGAACAGAGTCTCTCCTTTGTACTTGGAGTTATCCCCTTTTCCTCCTGTCACTGGGGTTTCCAGAGAGTTCGTGTCTTCCATAGAGAAGATAGGCTAAGAACTTTTTCACAAGCAAAATTGCCATGAAAACTTAAAAGAATTTGTTTAAAGGGAAGTTAATTAATTTTATTTTACTATTGTTGTTTAAATGCCTTTGAAATTGCTGCCTTTTTCCCTTTAGGGGCAAGTTGATTTTCTTTAGTCCCTTTAGCACATGGTAATTTACATGAATGTGAAAACATTTTATCAGCATTAAAATTCTAGAACTTGTCTAGTCTGGACCACCACAATCAGTAGGAGGGTGGGAGAACCCATAACTCTACATCTATTCAAGAAAAAAACTCAACTGCCATCCAAAAACCAAGCTGGAGTTAAGTTCAACATACCAGCATGCAAAGGTCAAGTTATATCATTAAGTTATACCAAGTTAGACCATTTGTATAAATGCTTAGAAAGTGGTCGATTTTGAGAAAGAAAATGGAAAATCAGGAAGGCAAAAGGCTCTCATTTTTTAAAAAGTCAAATATTCATCAGTGCATCAGAAAATGTGAAAACATTCAGGTGCGATATTTTAAACAATTATATCTGAGCCACCAAATAGTCCCTGCATGATTATCATCTATGATTATCTTCTAAAATTCCCAGATAAGGAGACAATTCCACAGTACCCCTTGCTTATAAAAATGTTTCGGTTCTCTTTCTCCACATACAGAAATCACAGAATAATTTTAGTAAGTGTTAACATGGTATTGAGCTGCCACGAGGAACCAGTCACTGTTCTGGCTGCAAAGGGTGTCAGCCAGAAAAAGAAGAGCACTGGCATCCAGAATCTGCCGGCGAGGGCTGCCCCAGAAAGTCCACACAGGCAGGGCCTGGAGGTAGCAATCTGAAAGGGGGCCGGGTGGAAAAGGTAAAGGGGATTAAGTAAAAAAAAGAAGAAAACACAAAAACAAAATAAACAAATTCACAGACACAGACAACAGCATGGTGATTACCAAAGGGAATGAGGGGGATCAATGGTGACAGAAAGATTTGCCTAGGGGTGGCGAACACACAATACAGTGTACAGATGATATAGTATACGATTGTACACCTGAAACCTCTACAATTTTATTAATCAGTGTCACCCCAATAAATCCATTAAAAATGTTAGAAAAAGAAAAAAAGAAATACCTGAACAAGAGCATTATGATACAGCTCTGAATTAATGAATTAGATGGCTTCATCTAAAAGCTCCATGCTGGATTGTTTCCAGCATGGTGGCCCTGAATGGTCCTAGGCAAGTGGTGCCCATCTGTCTGAATTACATCAAGGAGCAGAGAAGCCTTCCCCCAAATTCTGAAGATTCCAAATGATCTTTAGGTTGGTTGGACTGAGGTTGGGTGTGGAGTTGGAGTACAAAAGTAGATTATATGCCCTGGCTGGCATAGCTCAGTGGACTGAGCGTGGACTGTGAACCAAACTGTCGCCGGTTCCATTCCCAGTCAGGGCACATGCCTGGGTTGCAGGCCAGGACCCCAGTAGGGGGCACATGAGAGGCAACCACACACTGATATTTCTCCCCTCTCTTTCTCCTTCCCTACCACTCTCTCTAAATATAAATAAAATCTTTTTTTAAAGTAGATTATGAAGATATTTGGCCCCCAGGGGGAAGCTTTGAGAGTCATGGTTGGGCATGCTAAACAGAAAGTTTGGGGTTCAAAAGATGCCTTCTGTCAAGGCTCCGTTCCTAGTCCCCTGGGAACTTCTCTAAGTGTGATGAGACACCAGTGGAGGGCTTTGAGCAGAATATCATATGATCTGATATGATAAAAGTTTTAGAAGTTTTTTTCTTGGGAAATAGACCAAAGTACGGGTGCAAGAGTGACACAGAGAAATCCAGAGTCTGTGGCAGAAGTCTGGACAGGAGGTAGCGGTGCCTGGCGTAGGACCGTAGAACAGCAAAAGCCCCGGTGAGCAGGGGTTGGGCATCTCTTGTGGAGAGAGCCCATCAGACTTGCTCTGGACTTAAATCAGGATACACCAATTCATTCAACACTCAGGTTTTGGTGCTTGTGCCAGCGTCTACAGTGATAAATAAGGTTTGGTGGAATTTCTCAATGAGTGCTCCCTTGGCAGCAATGAGTCGCACTAGTAAAAAAAAAAAAAATCTATCCAAAGTGTTTAGTTCAGTTCAGGGCAGCTCCCCTCTCTGTTCATTACACTAGGGGACATTGGAACACGGGCCAGGGGAAATGCTTGGATAGAAAGCAATACTCTATTCCTTTACTTTCCCATCTGCAAAAAAGGGAAAAATGAAAGAAAAAATTCCAAAACATAATGACTCTGGGTTAATCATTTTAAAACATAAAAATAAACAATTCCCTGTGAAAATATAACTTAAACATGACTAAAGAAGACATAGTCAATATAAACAGAATAAGTGTCCATCAGTAAGTGAGTGGATAAAACAACTATGGGACATTTACACAATGGAATACTACCTAGCCATAAAAAAAGAAAGAACGCTTACCTTTTGTAACAACATAGATAGACCTGGGGAAGATTATGCTAAATGAAGTAAGCTGATAAGGACCATATGCTTTTACTTATATGTGGAATCTAATGAACAAACTGAACTAATAAACAAAACAGACACAGGCTCACAGATGGAGAGCGGGCTGACAGCCATGGGGGGCGGGGTTAGGGGGTGGAGCAAGAACAAAAAGGTTTCATGGACATGGACGACAGGGTGGTGATCGTGGGGTGAGGGCGATAAGGGGGATACATGGTAATGGGAAAATACAATAAAAATAATTTTTTAAAAAGAAGGCATAGTAAATATAAATAGAGTAATCGCATTTTAAAAATTAAATCAATAATTCTACACACACAGAACCAGACAAGCAGTAAGACTGTTCTAAAGGTCAATTTTCCCCAGTTTTAGGGAATAAGTAATCTTGATGTCATACAAACTACTGCAAAGAACAGGAAAAGACAGAAAACCCTCCATTTCATTCTGTGAGACAGGAACAACCTCATCTAAAACACAGATACAAAAATTACAATGCAGAAGAAATACAGCCAACTCACTGAGTATAGATATAAAAACATTTTTTTAATTGGCAAACAAAATTCAATAACATCAACACCTTACCTCATACCATATAAAAATATTAATTCAAAATGGGCCATAGACATACATATAAAACTTAAAGTTACCTATAAAGCTTCTAGAAGAAAATGAGAGCATCTTTACAAGCTGGAGGTAGGTAAGTTTTTAGATAGAACACGTAATGCACAGGTCCTAAAAGAAGGAAATGATAAGTCGGATTTCAAAATTAAACAATTTTGCTTTTCAAAAGACAGCATTTTTAGAAATGAAAAAGCAAGTCAAAGACTCAGGGAAAATCTGCCAAAAACATATTAGATAAAGGACTTATGGCCAGAATACACATAAAGAACACTACAATTCAATAAGAAAACAACCCAATCTTAAAAATAGGCCAAAACTTTGAAATGCAATTCAGAAAGATGCTGTACAAATAGCTGAGAAGCACGTGAAAAGGTGGATAGCATTAGTCATCAGGGAAATGGGAATTAGAACCATATGCTATCACAATACAGAGATTAGAATGGCTAAAGTTTCGAAGATATTCATACTGAGTAAAAGTATGTGAAACAGCTAAAACTCTCACGGATCATGGATGGGAATGGGAAACAGTACATCCACTTTAGAAAACAGCTTGGTAGCTTTTTTTTTTTTAATTAAACATCTACCTCTCATATGATAGCCCTTCTATCCCTAGGTGTTCACTCATGAAAAAGTGAAAACGTATGTCTGCACACAGATTTGCACATAAATATTCATAGCAGCTTACTTTTAAGAGCCAAACACAGCAAACAACCCAGATGTCCCCCACTCAACAAGTCGGGCGATGAACTAATTGTGATATATCTCGAGCTGAAACACTGGCCGGCAATGAGAAGAAATGAAACAAGAGTTTGACTATAGAAACCTATTGCTGCATTTCATCGTATCAATAATTAAAGAAAGGGGATTATGATCATCAGTTAATGCAGAAAAAGGACCTCATAAAATTCAATATTCAGCCAGACATTAAAAATAAAGCAAACTAGAAAAAAGAAAGACACTGCCTTAATCTGATAACTAGTATCTTCAAACAAAAACCCACAGCAAACAGAATATTTAATGACGAGAAGTCAGAAGTGTTTCCTTTCAAGTCGGTAGAAAGCCAAGGGTGCCCAACCACCGCCTCTGCTCCACACTGAACCAGAGGGCAGACAACTCAATAAGAAATAAAATGCGTAACACTGGAAAGGAAAAATAACAACTGGTATGATCAAAGGCAATGACATTGTGAACACAGACAATCCAGATTATTCTATGGAAAAACTATTAGGACAAATTTTTAAAATTCAGAAACTTGCTGGATAGACAATCAATTTCTTCCACAGTCGCGTTTGGATAGAAAATGTGTAAAGGAAAATGCTGGTTTGCAAACTCAGGAGCTCCCCGGGTGACACCTAAAACTGACCCTGTAACCCTGGCGGGTGCGGCTCAGGTGGCTGGAGCAACGTCCCATAAGGAAGAGGATGCAGGTTTTTTCCTGGGGGGCAGGCGCACACACCTGGGCTGCAGGTTCGTCCTGGTCCAGGGGCGTGCGGCCCGCAGTCCAGGAATGGAAGGGAGGCAACCATTAGATGCTGCTCTCTCTCACTCCCACTTTTTCTCTCCTTTCCTCTCCAAAAAGCAATGAAAACAAGAAGTCCCCGGGTGAGGATAAAAAGTACATATAAAAAATAAAACATAACTGACTCTGTACACAGAGGGCAGGAAAGACTGAAGAAAGTCGCTCAGCACTCCAGGTGGGTGGGTGGCTGTTTGGAATGAGTAAGGGAACTTGCAGACAAGGCTTGCCTTGAGCAGTTGGAGGTAAGTAGAGCTCCTCACTCACCTGCCGTAATCTTTAAAGCGTATAGAGAGGCCTTAATGGAGTTCAGTGATGATCTCAGTAACACTCGACTCTCTCAAGACTCCACCCTGAAACAGTTCCTAACACGGGAAGGGTGGGCAAATTGCACCTTCCAAGGACAGGGCGGGAGGAGGTGAGGGGCTGCTGATTGGCCCAGTCTGGCTCACGGGTCAGCCAAGGGTCATGCCCTCTCAACGACCTTCTTCAACACAGTGTGCTGTTGTACAGAGAAAGAGAGAGAGAGAATGAGAGTGTAGTCAGGACATACGTTGAGAAGTCTTATATAGATCATGCATAAAAGTCGTACTTTTTCCTAAGGGCAACATCTGGGGCTCGGAAGAGCCTGCTGCAGAGGGAGCTACAGATGCACCTGGTGGAAGCTCGCTCTAGGGGCAGTGGGTGAACACAAGCCAGGCAGGCCGCGAACCCTTTCCGAACTGTGACTGCACGTCTCAAACGTCCTAAGGAGGCTGCTCCCAAAATAACAACCAGTGGAAATCAACAGGGTAAAATTTCCACGAACAAAAAAAAAACAAATTCTGCCTTTCGGTGCAAAAAGGCATTTATACAAATAGGACACCTGATTACAGTTTGTAAAACAAAGATTTGAGAAATCTAGAGAATGCTGAGTTTATTAGACGTCCACAGACAGTGATAGTTATTGGGAAATCTACTAGAAAATCATAAACTGAAGAAAAAGAGATGAAAGAAAATATTATGAAAAACCATATGCCAACAAATAGGACAATCTGAATAAAATGAAATCTAGTGGACAAAATAAACTAACAAAATACAAAGAGACTCACAGAGACAGAGAACAGACTGAGAGGTGTCTCAGGGGAGGGTTGCAGGACTAGATGAAAAAGGGGAGGGAATTAAGGGAAAAAAAAAAAAACCTCATAGCCACAGACAACAGCATGGTGATTACCAGAGGGAAAGGGAGCTGGTGGAAGTAGTCATTTTGAATGCGATGGCCACACAGTACACATACTCACTCAACAGCATCTACTGCCCCTGTGGACTAGTACAGTGAAGTCATCCTTGTTCACGCATGTGCATTGCAGTCCACTCTCCTTGGCTGTGGGGTCACATTGATGTTGTGCAAACCATTCTTGTTATATAACAATGGCTGGGCTTTTCCCAGACAGACCTCATAGATACTTACAAATCATCTCTGGATCTTTCTTCATTCCTGGGGAAAGATTGCCAGATCTTTCTCCATTCCTGAGGGGTTATGGAGAAGTTGGGTGGTTGGTTAAACAGCTATTTGTGGAGGTGTTTTCTGCAGGAGCTTGGACCAAATGACCCTTGAAGGTGATACGGTGTCTTTTGAATCCACGAGCTGTGTTTAGAGCCAATTCCAGATCAGACAAGCTTCACTAACCACAGAAGTTGGGACAAAAGCCAGATGCTTCCCACACATCCTTGAGGTCCTCCTGCCTTCTGGCAAATTCCAGGACCAGATTGGAAAACCTGCATCCCGTTTGGGGGCCAAGTTGGGTGTGCTTCGGGATGATGATGCATACGGCTCCTGATGCAGTCCACATGCTCTGTGCTACTTTGGCCAAGTGTAACTTCAAGGTTTCTGACTCATTTGAAATAAAATGTATCAGGCGCAGACAGATGCGCTCCCCAACTGCAGTTCCAGGGGTCTCTTCCAAATCTTGTGGGACACCCAGACAACCGAATTTCCCCGCCTCTCAACTCAAAAGTCCAAACCACAGGCAGCACCGGGCGGGGTGTCAGGGTGAAGGAGCTGGACGTATGAGTGCTTTTCAGAACTTGCCAAAAATAAATATAAATTGCTTTTCATTTCGGAAGGCAGAAGGGTTGGATGGGTTTTACTGGCTCTCCTCTAAACAGCAATTTACACGTGGAAACGGTAGTGCTGAGGGTGCACTATCCCTTCCTGGCGATCTGAAACCCGCTGATTCATTTCACGTTGATGACTTTGTTCCCCAACCCCGATAGAACTTTAATTCATCTCACTCATGCTGCCTCTAACTAGTTTTCAACAACCCTAAACAACCAGCAAGTGGCTATTTGGTGGATAACATCCCTATTAATAAGTACAAATTAAATCAAGCATGTTTTAAAAAGCCTGATCCCAATAACAAAATAAATAGAATTTTCTCTGAATTTAAGAGCAAAATGCGTCTTCATCAGAAGACTCTCAGACACCCCCTAAGGCAACTCTGCCCAGTAGGAATAAAATGCAAGCTGCAAATACAAAGCACGAAGTCACTTTAAAATTTTCTAGTAGCCACATTAAAATATAAGAACAAAATTGTACTTCACCAACAATTAAA